TGCGTACCCCACTCGTGTGCAGGGTCCTGCCCCGGTACCGCTCTCTTGCCTGGTATGTAAACGGACATTCAAGAGTAAATCTGGACTTGGACGACACAAATGTTCTGCTGATCGCCAGCTGCCTCTAGCGGAACAGCCGGACCCACGTCAATGCCATGCCTGCCTTCGGTGGTTCCGAAGTGCCGGTGGACTTGCTGTGCACAAGTGCACAACACCGCCCACACCCCAGCGCATACCAATCACCAGCCATCCGTGTTGCAACTAGCACTGCGCTACCTGTGATCGCTGTTCTAAATCTGCTCGTGGCTTTCGGCGACACAATTGCAATCGTGGACGGCGTTGTGGCGGAGCGGCTTCCTAGTGGCAGTGCTGACTTCTCTCGAACTCTCTCTTCTACTCTCCCCTGTCTCGGGGGCGGCGTGGCGAAGCATTTGGCAGCTGTACACCAGGCCAGGCCAGGTGTATGTGTGTGTTGCATGTGTGTCTGTCAGCATAGGCGCACGAGTGCCCGAGGTTGGCATGCGGGAGCACTTGGAGGTGCTTACATGTTTGCGGGTGCTGAGGCTAACACTGTTAAATTGTCTCTATAAGAGTGGCTGCTGTGCTCCTCTTGCCCTATTCATATCTTTATTGCGTTGCCTTGACGAGGCTCTGTGCTGTCCCTGCGGGAATTTGCGGAAAAAACTCTCGAAACCTTGCGTAAGAAATTGCGGCAGAAAGTAACAAAAAATGCGACGAAAAGTGCGGAATGATGCAGAACTTGCCAGGAATTCGCGGAATTATTTGCAGAAAATTGCGGATTTGGGCCAAATCACGAAATTTGTTGCATAGTATATCTACTATATTGATGACGGGTGACCTTTGTTACTAGTATATGGCCTGCAAAGCACTCCGTAAGCCTTTGAGCTGGTCACCTGACTCTAGGTTACAAGCTCCACCGCAATGTTCCTACACGCGACTGTCTGGGTGTAATTGTAACCGCACTAGCAGCCTATTTGCAGATGTGTCTTACCATATACAAGTATGGTGCCTGCATCACCTCTTCAGTAGCCCCTGCTACATATGTCCTACTATGTGGTAGTCTGCGAGTAATCAATTTACCCACAGGGAGTCTCAATCTATCCCAAAACTTGTCTTGGATGACTGTGTTTGCAGTTTTCTCACAATCGAACTATGTAGGCTGAAGACACTGCTCTCAACTTGCGATTGCAATAATCGCTGAAGGAATGGGACCTATATTCGTTGAGTTATAGCGCTCAACGAACGCGCATATCGCCATACGCTCAAAGACTTTTCCGCAGTGCGTTGGCATTTGATTTTATGTATGACGACTGGCGCTCTAGTTTATTGATTGCCTTGTAGCAGTAGCTTTCCCGGAGGCTATATACCGTGGAATATTTATAGAGATTGGTTGCCTGATTCACGGGCCTTTCTGGGTGGCGTGTTTTTTTTATTGAAATTTGACCGTTTTCCCTTGTTGCTAGAACCCTCGCAGCAATACCATGCCAAAGAGATAAACAAGACGCCTGGCAAAACGACTCCTGACTACAAAATCATACATCCACATGCACACTTGCCTAGACAGTTTGGGGAATGTCATTACAACTAACATCACTAGGTAGTTCTAGAACAGCCTGCGTGTCTGCAAGTGCCAAGGTGTGTGGGTATGTGTGATGTACTAAGAATGCATGTGCATCACAACACAATGCTTGCAATCCACTTCTCGCTCATTTCCTTCATACAGTGGTACTATGTTGTGCAGTGCACATAACAGACTTACTGAAACCTATCCCCAGTCAAGTTCGTGTACCAAAAAGTAGTTATCCAGGTTTGCCAGTGCTGACCACACTTTACAGTTCTATATCATCACTGCTATATCACTATTAGAGGCTCGCTGGCTTTGATGTAGATCAGTCCAACCTTTCGACCTAGGTCCAACAGATGGTGACTTTGCCAAAAAGTGATTCACTAGTTTTCAAAGATGCCATGTTGACAAATACATGTTTAACAAAAGAAGATGATGCGTTCCCTGTCCCAGTATTTACCTATACACCATGCAATCCCAGTATTTACCTATACACCATGTAATCCTAGTATTTACCTATACACCATGCAATTCCAGTATTTACCTATACACCATGCAATCCCAGTATTTACGTACACACCATGCAATCCCAGTATTTACCTATACACCATGCAATCACAGTATTTACCTACGAACCATGCAATCACAGTATTTACCTATACACCATGCAATCCCAGTATTTACCTACACACCATGCAATCCCAGTATTTACCTATACACCATGCAATCCCAGTTTTTATCTACACACCACGCAATCCCAGTATTTACCTACACACCATGCAATAACCGACGAGGAGACAACAGTCGTAAAATAGCAATGAAAAATATCAATTGTGCACTCATAACCATGTATAAACAATTAAAATGAAACAATTCCAGAACGTTTTCGTGTGACCATCATCAGTGGAACATCGTCACATAGTAAGAATCACTAAAACAACCAGTTATATAGCTAGAGTAATATGAAAAGAAGCGTGAGAATGCAGCACAACTAGCGGTTATGCATAACGCGTGTAGTGTGAACCTTTGCAGTGTATCTGAGAATGGTAGCAGTAGATGAATGTGGCAGCTGTGAGTGCGTGTGAACAAAAACTGGTGAGTGCGTATTATTTTGGTGTCCAGTCCGGATTGTCGTAAGTTGTTTGACGATTCCTGGTTTAGTGTTATTTGTCGCGCGCGTTTCTTTAAGCAGTTGCAGGTGTTGGAAGCTGTATATATTCGCACACGTGACCCTGTTCTATGCAAGCAAAAAGAAAATGTTGTAGCACTCACACTTTTTAAATAATACGCACTCACCAGTTTTTGTTCACACGCACTCACAGCTGCCACATTCATCTACTGCTACCATTCTCAGATACACTGCAAAGGTTCACACTACACGCGTTATGCATAACCGCTAGCTGTGCTGCATTCTCACGCTTCTTTTCATATTACTCTAGCTATATAACTGGTTGTTTTAGTGATTCTTACTATGTGACGATGTTCCACTGATGATGGTCACACGAAAACGTTCTGGAATTGTTTCATTTTAATTGTTTATACATGGTTATGAGTGCACAATTGATATTTTTCATTGCTATTTTACACCATGCAATCCCAGTATTTACCTACACACCATGCAATCCCAGTATTTACCTACACACCATGCAATCCCAGTATTTACCTACACACCATGCAATCACAGTATTTACCTACACACCATGCAATCGGCTGGACTGGGTGCAGGAGCGAGCCATCAAGGCAATACATCCGCAATGTTGGCTTCCTAGCCTCATAATTTGCCGCACCATCGCTGCCCTCTGCCTCCTGTATAACGCCCTTTGCGATAATTCTCCCGCTCTTCTCTCGAAAATGGCTCCACCCCCGACACACCAACCCAGGACCACACGCCTCACCCGCCAGGCTGTACGACTGTCCACCGCGCATCCCCATCAGTTACAGAATGTTCTTCCTGCCAATTCCCGGAACAATGTGAGCCGAGCCTTTCCCCACTCCGTCATCCCAATTTGGAACCAGCTGCCTACCTCTATCATTCCCCACCCATTTCACCCAAAGAACATCCAAAAGTTCAAGACAGCAGCTTATCACCATCTCCTCAGAACGAACTGGCACTGGGCCACTCATAGCATACGCGAGTAAGAGGGTACAGTGTCCTACCCTGCTTGGACATACATGTAATCTCTCCTCACGGACAGTCTCCTCTTGAATTTAAAAGTCTAACAGCGTTCACATCAATATTCAACTTATTCTTTTGCTCACTGAGCAATACAATCTTTCCATTTTCTTTCTTCTGTTTTCTTTTTCAATTTAATCCTCCCCACCCAATATCCCTTTGGTGCGTCCATGGAGCTATGAAGCCGAGACCTCTGGTCGGCGGAGCTTAATGGGCCCCACCATCACACTCCATCATTCACCCCAGTGTCTGGAGATATGTGGATTTTGTAGAAAAAAAAAATCCCAGTATTTACCTACACACCATGCAATCCCAGTATTTACCTACACACCATGCAATCCCAGTATTTACCTACATACCATGCAATCCCAGTATTTACCTACACACCATGCAATCCCAGTATTTACCTACACACCATGCAATCACAGTATTTACCTACACACCATGCAATCCCAATATTTACCTACACACCATGCAATCCCAGTATTTACCTACACAACATGCAATCCCAGTATTTACCTACACACCATGCAATCCCAGTATTTACCTACACACCATGCAATGCCAGTATTTACCTACACACCATGCAATCCCAGTATTTACCTACACAACATGCAATCCCAGTATTTACCTACACACCATGCAATCCCAGTATTTACCTACACACCATGCAATCCCAGTATTTACCTACACACCATGCAATCCCAGTATTTACCTACACATCATGCAATCCCAGTATTTACTAGGGGTGAAACGGTTCGGGTAAGGAACCTGTTTTGGAACCGCCAGCTGAAAAGAATCGGGTACCCGTTCCGTCAAATTTCGAACCGAAACTCGAAAAATCTCGTTCTTGTACAAATACATGTACACGTCAAGTCTACTCAAGATTTTAATGTCTTACCTTACGATCCCCACTCTTCCAAAGAGTTCTCTGGTCATTATCTTCTTCGCACTTGGACTCTCCGATGTCTCATTCTTGCTCGTAAAACTGTTTTTTCTAAAAAATAATTGTCGCGAACGCATTTTGTCGGTCTGGACAAAAGAGTCCATGGAACCGATACCCGAACCGTGGGAAACAATGCTGGCATTCGGGTACCCGAACATGAAAAACATGGAACCGTTTCACCCCTAGTATTTTCCTACACACCATGCAATCCCAGTATTTACCTATACACCATGCAATCTTATCATGTACAAGTAGACATTGCTTTTCCATGTGCTCATGTTTGTACTGTAGCAATGGAAGCAGCGTCTGAAGAGGAGAGTAAGGACAAGTATCGACCACCCAAGTTGGCTGAGTACAGTGATCACTACTACTCAACCAATGCACCTCATCCAGACCTGGTGAGAGCATGTGAAGATGACGATGTGGAACAAGTACGACAAGCCGTGAACAGCGGCACTGCAACCGAACCTGTGATTAGACCGGATCTCATGGAAGAAGTGCCAGAGTCATACTTTCAAAATGTCCTTCCCTATATGAGAATTCCTATGACCATCATGGTAAGTCAGAAGTATCCTCCCCCCCCCCCCCCCCCAATAAAAGCTTTGCCATGCATTCGTCCGGCGAAATAGCACGTTATCATACATTTGAGGCAGCGGGAAGAAGATGATGACGTCCACTAATTTAGTATCTGTGCACATGAATGTGCTGTGTGTGTGACTTTGTGTGTCAGCTATGATATCAAACCCTGTCGTTCCATGCCTACCGTGCAGGTCAGAACCATCCTGCAAAGTTCGAATGAGGTAGGTAGAACGATCGCGCCGCGAACCATACCTTCTGAAATTTGTTCGTAGTATACCTTCCACCATTGAAATTTCGAATTTCTTGCTGAGAGTGGTAGCTTGCAACCTCGATATGGCTTGCTCCAGGCATGCTGTAAAGCGAAACTCTGTTGAACTAGTGGCGGGGATCTGCCCTGCAAGTGCTACAACAAAAAATTATTCGATCTGAGAAAGCGTGAGACCGCGAATCTCCGTTGAATATTGAGTATTTCAAGCCTTTTCACGATAAAGATAGTTCTTTTTGGAGATGGACGTCGTGGCAAAGGACATGGTTTCCGACTTCTGGCGTCTGCTAAAGCCAGGGATCATTTGTCCAGTCAGGTCAGCAGGCTAACCGTCGGTAAGCGTGTGTTTAGATCGCGTTCTGCTCGATGTGGTGGATCACAAACAATTTTGATATCGCACAAATTGAACTCTGCATCGTGCGTATTGTATTTTTTATTCAGAAAATAGCAAAGTGTCTCTGACTCTCTGTGTGGCCGTCCTATGTCACGAGAAACTCCAATCAGGCTCCTATGTCCTCTGCCTTCTTGATTGAATGTCCACTTCGTTTGAACAATGAACACAACAATCGAGGACGGCTTTGCAATGAAAAATACAGCTATACTGGAGCTGAAAAAAGAAGAAAAGATGTGCTCAGGATGAGACTCGAGTACACTCGTACTCTCCCAGCAGGTTCTGTGGATGTCGCTCATAGATGCGTAATTTCGCGTGACGTGCAACTGTTGCACCAAATCTATTTCACCTCTCAAACTGGCTATGTACAACTAGCAATGAATTTCAATGACTTTCAGCCCTGCATTAGTTATATCCAGAGTACATAGCCCCCAACAACTCAACTTCACTCAGTCATTGGTTCTGTCCTGACAGAATTACAGGTTGACATCATCTTTATGATACAAAGCGTGCTGTACATGTCTCATCCTGTACCTGTGGAGGACAAATAACATTATGATCCCATGTGATGCATTAATAGACAGCTATTACGTTGTAAATCACTCCCTGGAGAACAATTGCATCATACAATATTGTCGGAACAGCACTGTATCTGGAAGGTGCACACCTTTTTAACGGATGATATACTTTTCGTTACAGTCCTTATTTCCTGAGAAACAGAAATCCGATAGAGAAAAATTACATAGAAAGACCAGAAGTGTATTCGCAATCACTTGAAGCATCCTAGTTAAACAATTATTGGCACATAGCACTGTGGAAATAATATTGTGACCATGGATTTCCCTCGAGTCGCATACCATGATGGCTAACTTTACAACACACAAATATACGAACGAATGTCTTATGTTCCACGAACCGGGGTTTGAGACTATGAATTTTGAAGCTTTGAAAAGCTCACATCGCATGATTATGACTTCCATCTGGAACACACAAGGGGCATAATATCCTTCGTAAGCCGAGCTTGAGGAGGCCCGAGAATGTACTCACGATTAGGGGTCTAACAGAGAATGTACCTGCGTAGTGGTCTACCAGAGAATGTACTCACGAGTAGTGGTCTACCAGAGAATGTACTCACGAGTAGTGGTCTACCAGAGAATGTACTCACGAGTAGTGGTCTACCAGAGAATGTACTCACGAGTTGTGGTCTACCAGAGAATGTACTCACGAGTAGTGGTCTACCAGAGAATGTACTCACGAGTAGTGGTCTACCAGAGAATGTACTCACGAGTAGTGGTCTACCAGAGAATGTACTCACGAGTAGTGGTCTACCAGAGAATGTACTCACGAGTAGTGGTCTACCAGAGAATGTACTCACGAGTAGTGGTCTACCAGAGAATGTACTCACAAGTAGTGGTCTACCAGACAATGTACTCACGAGTAGTGGTCTACCAGAGAATGTACTCACGAGTAGTGGTCTACCAGAGAATGTACTCACGAGTAGTGGTCTACCAGAGAATGTACTCACGAGTAGTGGTCTACCAGAGAATGTACTCACGAGTAGTGGTCTACCAGAGAATGTACTCACGAGTAGTGGTCTACCAGAGAATGTACTCACGAGCAGTGATCTACCAGAGAATGTAGTCACGAGTAGTGGTCTACCAGAGAATGTAGTCACGAGTAGTGGTCTACCAGAGAATGTACTCACGAGTAGTGGTCTATCAGAGAATGTACTCACGAGTAGTGGTCTACCAGCGAATGTACTGACGAGTAGTGGTCTACCAGAGAATGTACTCACGAGTAGTGGTCTACCAGAGAATGTACTCACGAGTAGTGGTCTACCAGAGAATGTACTCACGAGTAGTGGTCTACCAGAGAATGTACTCACGAGTAGTGGTCTACCAGAGAATGTACTCACGAGTAGTGGTCTACCAGAGAATGTACTCACGAGTAGTGGTCTACCAGAGAATGTACTCACGAGCAGTGGTCTACCAGAGAATGTACTCACGAGTAGTGGTCTACCAGAGAATGTACTCACGAGTAGTGGTCTACCAGAGAATGCACTCACGAGTAGTGGTCTACCAGAGAATGTACTCACGAGTAGTGGTCTACCAGAGAATGTACTCACGAGTAGTGGTCTACCAGAGAATGTACTCACGAGTAGTGGTCTACCAGAGAATGTACTCACGAGTAGTGGTCTACCAGAGAATGTACTCACGAGTAGTGGTCTACCAGAGAATGTACTCACGAGCAGTGGTCTACCAGAGAATGTACTCACGAGTAGTGGTCTACCAGAGAATGTACTCACGAGTAGTGGTCTACCAGAGAATGTACTCACGAGTAGTGGTCTACCAGAGAATGTACTCACGAGTAGTGGTCTACCAGAGAATGTACTCACGAGTAGTGGTCTACCAAAGAATGTACATGGGTGATGGTCTACCAGAGAATGCACATGGGTAGTCGTCTACCAGAGAAATTACTCAGTGTACCGTAACACTACACTCGCACCCACACGCTAGCAAAAAAAGGCAAGAAAGTAATAAAGAGCAAGCCGGCCAGCAAGAGAGGTGTCAGTGCAAGACACAAGCAGAGCAATGGCACGGTGTGGGTGACTGCTCAGCAGGGTAGCACCTGAAAATACGACTCCCTAAATTTCCAGCCATGACCGCTAAACCGGGCTGGCGGAAAACTCGCCTTGCCGCCCAAAACTCTTCTACTAATATGGGTCCTGCCCCACTGCCAGTCACACCCAAAAAGCCGAAGGAAAGCAAGTGGAAGAAAGCAATCATACAAAAAAGCGCTAAGCCCCTCGGGACAGAAACACAGCATGCGACATGCCATGGAAAACCAGAAAACAGCGGACAAAACACGCACAAACGCACAGGACCAAAGGGTAGGTGCATGGTAAAACTCCAAGCTAACATAAGCAACACAGGACCATGCCATAACATGTGCCAACTGAGCACTACTAGTAAGGCTCGAGCTTCGTGCTTCGCAGGCTCACCCGTTCATCCCCATCCGCTGGGGGTCCCTCTGCCACTCTCCTCGGCGGCGCACATTCCTCATCCTCAGTCAGTGGCCGCCCAATTTGCCGTAGTTACAACTGGTCCAGGTGCCAAGGGGAGTGTGGGAGAGCGCACCTCTACAGTAATGTCAAGGCTGCCACCCCCAAAAATGGCATGCATGGCCAACTCCTCCAGCAACTGGCCTAGCACATCAGCTCCACCCGACGAACGATCAGGCAGATCCCGACCCAAGCATGGTGGGGCGCCAGGCCACTAGCTCTGCTTTGAAGCAGGCATGTGAAGACAGTAGTAACACACAGTTTCTATCACTCACCATACCAGCCAGCCCTGCTCTTGATTCCAATATGCCATGTATTCACACGCCCATCGATGTTGTCAGCTTAACTAGACTGCTCACTGATCATTTAGGCAAGGCATTCTCTTGCTGCACTAGCAGGGGCTTACAAGCGCCGTAGAAAGTAGCGCCACGCGGCAATATAGCTACAAAGACAACTAATTGCACAGTAGCATTAGGCTTCATGGGTCGCCGCCGTCACACTGTGACCGACTCAAATCTTCCCTCATGTACTGAACATTCCATGTACATATCAGAGTATCTGGCAACATCCTGTGCACAAGGAGAGACCCTTATTCCATCCCTCCATTTCCATCATACCAGTACTCGGGCATTGGCATGGTGCCCACGAAGAATGGTAAACTACTCATTTCCCACCATTTATCAGCTCCCGTTGGCAAAAGCGTTAACAATGGCATCGACCTGTCCACGTTTAGCCTGTCTTATATCCGGATTGAAGACGCAGTGCAAACAATCATGCCCTACGGGCAGGGTGCATTGCTGACACAGCTGGCCATCCACAACGCATTCCACATTCCGCTCATCCCTGTGCACCCGCCGAACTGGTCTCTATCTGGTATTCAGTGGCAAGGGAAATTTTACTTTGATCGAGCACTGCCGTTCGGCCTACGCTCCAGCCCACACAACGCAAACTCGACCACCTCTTGGGAAACCATCCTTTGCATCAAGCATCGTCGCACCAGGCAGAACATTTACACGGCGCTTATGGCATATCAATAAGAGTTTAGCCGATCGCCGATGCGCTGTCTAGTTTCAACCTGCAAGTATTCCATCAGCTGGCGCCATCGGCACAGCAAGCCCCAGACACTGCGATCTGCTTCCCACTCCTGGACTGATGTGGAAGGTTGCCGACCTGGCAGCCATGGCAATCGGCCTGACAGCACTGCGCACATACACCACTTGCAAAAGGAAAATTACGTAACTATGTGCGTAGGGGACAAGGA